TTTGGTGAAGCGGAGACTCTTGAAGAGGGTCTTTCGCTGTCTGTATCGTCCATGTATATGTATATGTTTTCCTCGTTTTCTGAGTCCGACATTTTGTGCGTGTGCGTGTGTGTGCGTGTGTATGAGGGTGTGTACGTGTTAGTCGTGTGGGGATACCCCCTTACGGGGGCGTACGTGTCTTTTGGTGTATTTGTCTGTCTGCTATATTGTTTGTCGGGGGTCGCAATTTTAAAGAAATGTATTCTAAAGTAATGCAAATAACTGATAAATAAGTAAAAACTTACCTGGGCATAACCCCGGGACAGGTGCCTGCAACAAAGATGCCGACGGCCTCTATGCTTAAGCCGGGGATTAGGTCGGTGATTAAAAGGAAAGAAAGGGATTATTTCCAGGTAGCCTTAATAAAGGCAGGTAGATTTTGCTCGTTGCAATCACTTCACCTCACAAACACGTCTGCTCAGCTCGGCTGTTCACTTTGAACTGACGTGCGAGTCGTTCATGAGCGACCCAGCTCTAAATTATGAATCATTTCATGTAATTTATGTTGTTCACGTTAGTGATGGGCATAATCGACCAATTTTGATAATCGAGTTATCGGTAATCGAGTACTTCTAATAATCGAGTGATCACTCGAGATACGAGATATTGGTCGTTTTCATCCCAGCGGCGCACAAATATGTTTGTATTAGTCATATATTACTTATAAGCGTAGCTAAAAAAAAAAAAAGCTCACGTACTTCAAAACCTAACCACTTTTTCGTTTTATTCTTAAAAAAGGTTAAGCAATCAGTGACTATTTGCAGTATGCACTAAAATTTTAGGGTGCAACCGTAGGGTAATAAACACTCGAGTGGTGGGAGTAAACATCTCGAGATATCTCGAGTGATCTCAATAATCGAGTACCACTAGATTTTTCACTCGAAATCTCCCATCACTAGTTCACGTTTATTGTTGGTTAGGTTTGGCGAGTGTTGGTGTTTTATGTTTTTAGTGTGTTTTATTAGACATTTCATTCACTGTATAACATATTAATGTCTGATCATACAATCACATTTTTTTATTAATAATAAAATGTTTAGTTTTTTTGTTTGTTTTAATAAAAAATGTCTGACAGTTTGTCGTGATCAGTGGTAGGTAGTTTTTTTTTGGATATCAACACAACGAAAAATTTTAAGTTGCATAATATAAATCTCTTACAAGAATTATTCAGATTGGTTTAGTAAAATTATTTACTTGTAATATTTTTTTATTCACCGTGAAAGCTAATACAATATAGAAGGCACTGAAAGCTACTCTGTAATCATTTCCACTCTTTTATTTTCAAAATATGTACTGAAAGAAATTTTTTCAATAAACATTTCAGAGTTAGTATCAAAATTATTTCTTATTTTAAGTAGGCAGGCTATTAGAGCTTTTAAAAGTGTCTAATGCTTGAGTGATTTTAATGCTTTTTATCAAATGTACTTATTTTTTCATGGTGACAAAAATTATGTATGTGAAAATTATTTTACAAAACCAATTTCGGAGTGATCTGTGTAGGGTGAGATTTGTTATGTAATTTTAAATTTAGCGGTGGCAGAATACCTAAAATAAATATTGGATAGGTATATAGTTGTAGAGCGTACAACTAGATGGCGCTTGCATCTTTTACCGGCTACAGGTAATTTAACTCGCTGTATTACCGATAATTCCTAGAAAAGGAAAGCATAGAAGTTGGAGAAAGTATCAACAGTTAGCGCTCTAACTGACCACGAAATCATTTATCTAGGATTGTCGCCACGCCACTGTCTTTAGGGTCACTGTATTTGCAACTATTGTGTGTTTGTTTCGCAATGCCGAAAAGCTTAGGAAAAACTAAAAAAAGGTCAAAACGTGCTAAATCACTTAAATTAATCTGGAAAGAAAGACACCAAAATCTGTAAGTATTATTAAATAGTTTTAAATCGGTAAAAAGGTATAAATTTACTCTTTTTAGGTATAGGACTTCTATGGAATTTAGAGATACAGAGAGAGAGAATTCAGAGAATATTAGGTACAGTATTACATCAATAATGATTAATGAAATATTTTTTTATTCGAGACTAGTATATACCTATATACTGAAGAATATAGGTAAAGTTTTGTGCGGTCGAGACTAGTTTTCTAGTTTTTTTTTTCAAAAATATAACCTGTACGTTTAGCCCAGGGAGATGAGGAAAATGCCGTCACTGTTGAGTAGCCAAGGATCTGTAAAGTTTTTCATAAAATTAGGGTGAATTTTAGCATAATATGTGCAAAACCCACACACCATCAGGTGAGGTTTTTTTAATAATTAAGAATAAAAGGTCTAAAATAACCCAAAATAGTAACTTTTTTGCCTACCAGAAAAAAACGATAATTTTTATTATCTGTGTACAAAAGAGAAAAACAGCGTATTTTAAATGGTATTATCGTATTTAAAATAAAAATGTCCTCGTGTGTTTCTTACGAATTTGGCCCCATTTTGTAAACAATTCCTTTTTTTTAAATTGAGTTACTATCAAAAGTTTGAGACAAACGATTCTTCAATGAAGTAATAATTTATTTTTGAAATTCTACTCTAAAACCGAAAAAAGGCTCTAATACACATTTTGGGAGAGGCTTATTTGCTTCTGAGATCCAGCACTATTAAAATCACAAAAATTTTCAGTAGGTATCTTATGTAAAATATTTAAATAAATGATTTTTAAAATTTCAGTTCTAAATAGTACTGATTCAAGTGTTGTTAAATGTACAGGTTATAACTTTGAAAAAAAAATCGAGAACTGGTTTCGACCACACAAAACTAAGTAAATATTCGTCTTCAGCAATCTCAAAAAGAGGGTTTGAAAATTTTTAACAAGACATAGTTTTATGCTATAGTAAATAATTACCGAAAAATACCCTACAAAATGGTAATTATTTTTACTATAGCATAAAATTCGCAAATCTTAATAAAAAAATTCCTGCCCCCCCCCCCCTATTTTCGAGAGTGCTGAACACGAATCTGAAGTTAGTTTTGTGTAGTTCTGGCTACTAAACAAAATACCTATATATTTAAGCTTGACTGACAACTGCGAAATAACAGCCACCTGCTCGTCAACAAAATTGTGTCAGCCTTTGCTTGAGACAAATACTACAGGACCATCATTTGTTACAACTGGAATTCTAACTAAAGAAGAAATTGAAATTGTACCAAAGGAAGAATCCCCAATACAAGGAAATCGTATAGTAGAACTTGGATACGTTCTTGAATGGGCAACGTCTTTACAATTCAATCATTCCAAAATTTGTTCAGTAGGCAAACTTATTATTGTAGAGGAAATACAAAAAGGTAAAGGCCTGACTAGCACCATTATATTCCAGTGCAACTTCTGTGACGAGAGATATGCATATGACACAGAAAATCCGAATAGACCTAAATCGGCTATCAACGTGGGAGCAGTGTGGGGAACTTTAGCTACAGGTAGCTCATATGAGCATATGACAGAATTCCTTAGCTGCATGAATATTCCTGCAATGAATGGCAAGTTGTTCTATGAGTTGGAAGCAGAACTTGGTAAGGTAAGTAAATGTATTAATAATAAACATATTAATTTGCTAATTTGTTCCTCTATTTCACCTATAATTATAAGTTTATTAACTTGTTAATATTGTAATTTAAAAGAAACCGCTAAAAGCCTCTTAATTAGTTGGATATTGGATAGGTATGTGGATGCTTGTAATGTAATCCAACGTCATAAAACTTAATTGTTTCTTTGCATTAGAGTTAACGTTAGCACAATCCATATTTAGTGAAAATGAAAAATTATAGCAAGTTTGCCAAGAAATTGGTCAATAAATTGATCAATTTATTTACTTCCAATTAGTCGTTTTATATTTGTCAATTTTCAACTTGATCAATTAATAGAATAATGAATTGATAATGACTGTAAGTATTTATGTGTAACATGGATTGTATAAATTTATTGTATTGTTGTATTATTTATTGTATATATTTTACCTGTAGATACAAAAATTTAAATAAATTAATTAATTAATAAGTATATAGAAACTAAAGAAATAGCCTAGAAAGTTTTACAGCCAATAATAATATATAGGGTGTTCCATAAATATACCTACCGATAAACTCTTATGGGGGGTAGAGGACATCAAAGCAAACATTTTTTGTTGTATAAACATATGTCCAAAAATGTTTCGTTTTTGACATACAGAATATTGAAATTTTAAAAAAAATATTGTATCTGTATCTCGGAAACGAAACTTTTTCGGACATATGTTTATAAAACAAAAAATGTTTGTTTTGATGTCCCCTACCACCCTTAAAAGTTTGTTGGTATATTTATCGAACACCCTGTAGATAATTTAAAAATAAATAAGGCTACTGTTATATTATAAAAGAACAAAGTAACTATATCTAGTACTGAAATTACTCGTTATATTATTGTCATATGTAAATGATTTGTGTAGGAATGGGAAGCGTCACTATACGGTTCTATGGAAAATGCAAACTCTAGGGAGGAGATAGCAATAAAACAGCAACAGATTTGTTCTGATGGTACTCCATAGATCAGTGTGTACTTGGATGGTTCCTGGAGCAAACGTTCTTATGGAACCAACTTAATGCTCTATCTGGAATGGCAGCTATTATAGGGGTCGGAGTGCGAAATAAATTTTGCTCAGTTTGTGCCAAAGCTCAAAATCGAAATGACACTCCGAAGAATCATAACTGTTTTAAAAACTGGGAAGGTTCTGCTCCTGCAATGGAGATACCTACAGAAAAAAAATATTGGTGAAGGTCAAAGTGAAGGTGGCTCCAGAAATTGTAAGAAATTGTATTGGTCAGGGTCAAAGATGTAAAGATCCGTCTTACATTAGAAAAGCTATAACAGCTTACAATAAAAAAAAAAAATAATAAAAAGACCAATACTTACTGAAGAACACAACATAGCTTAAAAGCAGAAACCCACTACCGACACGCAGCACTATGTCATGCCACCCCTGCTATGCGACATAGGTTCACGTGGATGATGTGGGCATATTTGACAGACACATAATTATTTGTAAATTTAATCGTTAAAATTATCAGTAGATTTTAGTACCATATGGAGTATGAAAGCAGTTCATTCACTGATACAGAATTTTTAGAAGAATGTGCCACTGTAGCTATTATGATTTTAAACAGAAAATAAAAAAGATGATATTGGATACACGCAGTCAACAGAGAATTATCTTAGACTCGACGACATTTTAATTAGAGAACTGGCTGCACATTGGTCGATACCTACCATTATACTGTACAGGGTGACCATATGTACTTATTTACGTGGGACAGTATTTACTTTTAAATAATGTCCTAATGTACTTTAAAACTTTTCTAAGGACATGCAAATGTACTTTCTTTAAAAAAAAAGGAGAAAGTTTTTTATTTTTTTACTGTTTTTAAACAAATATATTCTCAGTTAATTTCTTTTGGCACTTTTACTTAAACATTGACCCACTGTGCATTCAGATAATTTGAAATAGTGCGTTCAGGTAATATGATGTAACATTCGACCGTATATACCCAATTTTTTATTTCTATCTATTTTTAATTGCAAACGATAGACAGAGATGCCGACTATACTAATATCGATAGTCGGCATCTCTGTCTATTTATTCCGTACAAAGTTACAGGTGATGTTTACTGTTTAAGATAGTTCTTTAGAATAAGATCTAGGCTTAAGACACATACGCAAATGTTTAGTTCAATGGTTAAAGCAGTTCTGAATAACATATTTAAATTTTAAAACGATTGACCATTTCGTTTTTTAGAAATTGATTTTCAATGTTTAAAGAATTAACACGTGGGAGATAGGGATTTGTTATGTTTCTCATAAACCACTTTTACCTTTATGCACAAATTTTTGTATGCGTAGAATTTTTTTTTATTTTTCGGTACAAAAAAAATTATGATTTGTTAGTTTAGTATATATAAATTATCTTTAGTTATTTTTTGTATTTATATTCAATGGAAATAAGATAGTTTTGTCCAATAAAAAGATATATTTGCGATTATAAAATATTTTTGCATTTACGTTTTATTTCTCTAAATTTTGTACATTTTTTCTGAAATAAGATATTGTCACCATTATGCACCTTCGTATAGACAAAAAATAATTGCATTGTACTGCATATACATTTTTGTTGCATGGCGTGAAGTGACAGCATTGGGTCAAGTGTAAAAGCATAGTCCAGTATTGCAATTAAATTCATAAAGATTACCCAACAATCTGTATGGCAAAAATTGTAAAATTTTACTACCTACCGTATAAATTAAGTTATTTGTTAAATACTAATTTTAACTATTTTAAGCAATATTTTTTCAGTTACATTAAAACTATGTATAAAAATTCTGTAGTTTTATATGGATAAATAAAGGAATGTATTATTATTGCTTTTTTATTTACTAGAAAGAGAATATTTCTATTTTTATTTGATTATTTGTTAAAAGATAATTATATAATGCTATTAACATCAATTTTATTGAAAATTTAGCCGCATCTGAACGAAAAAAAAATAATTAAATTGACCCGTGCACATAAGGTGTCAAACAAAAACCACACAGAAAAGCATAGAATTTCAAACATTATTTAATATTCATTATTGCTCTTCCAAAAAAATAATTTCTTTTTCAGAAAACAATATATATGTTTTACAGTTTTCTATAAGCCATACAATTTCAATGGTTAAGTTTGATACTGGCTCCATCTAGACTAGAAGCTCCAAACATTCATATTTGTTGTTCTGTTTTCTTTGGTGCGTATCTCAACTAATGACATTTAAATAAATGGCTACCAAATAATTTCACAAAAATCTAGACATAGCTGGTAATACTGCATAATTCAGTCTAATATTTTGCAGGTCAGTTCCTCAAATCTGTAGAAAGGAGATGTAAAATTATAATAAAGATCTATGACATAAAATTTCAATTTGTTATTATACTTTATTTATCCATAACTTGAATAATACAAATTATTTTGCAATAAAAAATATGTCGACTCCTAACTGAATACATTATCTATATAGGCCACATATAATTTCCTCAGAAAATAGTGTAGTTTTTGAAAAGACTGCTTGGGTGAAGGTCTGTTTTCAGAAAATATCTTTATTCCCCTCTTAAAATTTTCTATATGCAAAGTATGCATTGTAAGTTGCAACATATTATTTTGATTTTATGATCATATTAACAAGTTTACTCTGTCATAATTTAAATGTAAATTAAAACCTTTATCTATAGATGTATCAATAACACATAGAAACAGTGACTAGTGAACAAAGATTTTATTGCAACAAATAATTAACAAAATAATATAAGTACTATTTAATAAATAAAATACTGCACTACCTCATGTCTTCTAATTTAGATCGGGCTGCCGAATTCTTGACTCTTTATTCAAATTTTTACAGTGCATCTTCAACATGTCCATAACTTCATGATTATACTCCTCTGGTGTGGGTTTGATGTTAGTAGCCCAGTAATATATATCCCAATCATTTGAGGGGCCATTAATCAGACTGAAAACATGCAAATTATAACATAATTTTATAAATACCGTGAAACTTACTTGTCATAGTCATCTATTTGTTCTACAGTTAGTTTATCCAAATACTTTGCTACAAACGTACTCAAAAGCAAATCGTTTTCCAGCATACCACGTTTCCTGGACTGATACAATAACCTAAAATATTAAGTTTTTGATCATTAGAAAATAATTATTTAATGCTTCCTTCAACACCAACCTTGCCTTGCGTTGATCAAGAGGTTCATTCTCCCTTGATTTTGGCCTAGGGATAATAAATGAAGGATCATCTGGGGGGTTTATAATATCGGAACTGAAAAACTTAGTACAACCAGCTATTGGAAATTTTTTAGTCACACTTTTGACTCCAGTTTTCTAAAATTTTAAAAATACTAGATCTCATATTATACTATTTTTAAATCTAACCGAAATATATCTTGAAAGAATACTTGCTGAATTCATTTTGAGTGTAAAAATTAAAACTTCAAACTTGTTTTTATTTTGCTGTCAATCGTCAATTGTTTCCATTCCATAGACCTTGTTAACTAGAGATGGACGGAACATGATGATCCGGCTCTCTGAGCTGAGTGAACCTATTCCTTCCCGGATCTCGGATCTTTACGTTCAGTTCAGTGCGAACAGCCGAGCTGAGCGGACGTGCTTGTTTGTGAGGTGAAGTGATTGCAACGAGCAAAATCTACCTGCCTTTATTAAGGCTACCTGGAAAGAATCCCTTTCTTTCCTTTTAATCACCGACCTAATCCCCGGCTAAGCATAGAGGCCGTCGGCATCTTTGTTCAGGTACCTGTCCCGGGGTTATGCCCAGGTAAGTTTTAACTTATTTATCAGTTATTTGCATTACTTTAAAATACATTTCTTTAAAATTGCGACCCCCGACAAACAATATACCAGACAGACAAATACACCAAAAGACACGTACGCCCCCGTAAGGGGGCATCCCCACACGACTAACACTTACACACCCACCCACCCACACACACACGAAGAAGCAATCCTACAAG